TGTTTTCAAAGTTGATTTAACTAGAAGTCCAGTTCTAACAAGGCCAAAAAAAATCCCCACAAGTTATCACTATTACTAGATATTTTTCATAAACTAACATAGGCAATGGACAATAATATTGACATATAATTAAAATTAACAGCCCCTTTAAAATGGGGACATAAGAGCCGAATTCCAAAATGACCATATATCATTCATTTCTACTTCATAAATAATAATAACAATAATAATAATAATAATAATAATAATAATAATAATAATAATAATAATAATAATGATAATAATAATGATAATAATAATAATAACAAGAAGAAACACTTTACACACGGGTCAAAATCTTTATAATTCACATATGCTTTAGAGGATGTGTTTATTTTGGGTGAAATAAAAATAAACAATCGAATTTTTGGATAAGTTAGTAAACATTAGTAAGTTTAATATTTTATCGATTTTATGATATGATCAAAAAATCGATAAAATCGTTTTAATACATTTACCTCAGGACTTTAATTGGTTGGATAAATTCTGTATTTTATCTCATGATCAAATATGGTAAAGATGAGATTTACTGATTTTACTCGCATGAACGTCTAAATTATATATATATTTTTTTCGAGTGTTTACTACTTTTTTATTTAAAATAAAAATATTTATCAATAACTTTATAAATATGATATTTACCATCATAATTCAAAACTATGATATTAGCTACAATTAACTAAAAATGGGAGAAATTTATAAGAGGTTTTTTTTTTTCTTATTGTGTAGGGTATAAATTTGCTTATAATATAATCCTCTCGTACAAGAAAGGCAACAGAGATGTTTGTTTCCTGTATTCATTTCTAATTTTGAATCATTATTCATAGTTCTCTACATTGTTTTTCTCTCACAAAAAACACATGTAAAACGAGAATGATTCTGAATCCATAAACCAAACGTCCACTAACATTGAACTTCTTTAAAGAATTTGAAATACCTCATCCTATACATTCCTCTTATTTTCCCCCAAAAAATTCTCTTACCCTTTTAATATTCTATTTCCTTTCATATTTCATGAAATTCTAAGTTTAAAATTGGCAATTCAAATTTCTTGTTAATCATCGATGTTGTACTTACATCTAATACACTTAGCATTATTTATATTGAATAATACTACTAACACCAATTTCAATCTTAATTCTTGTGCCAACTCATGAGATTTAATTTTTTTTATTGGTAAGTGTAATATATTATTATTAATTGATGTAGGATCTTTAGTTTTTTTGTTTATGGCTGCCATTTTTATTATTTGTTTTTCCTTTTTTAATTTGAATTGATGATCCATCTAAGTCCAAATCTCCTGTCCCCGTTTAACCGTCTCGCTTACAGTCCCTCACTAAAATATTGACACCTCACTGCATATTGACACATTAGCTCTTCCCAACAATTCCACACACGGCGTTGATGAACGGAAACAAAACGGAGGGTAGCTGTCCTCTTTTTGCTATGCCGTCACTCATTTGACAATTATTTTTGCTTTTTCTTTTTTCCCTGAATTCCTTACGTACCTTAATTGTAGATTAAAGACATGTTTAGTTCACTAATTTAAATTAAAATATAATTTTATGTGAGAATTTTTTATTATAATGTAAAAATTAAATATAATTATTTTTAAGAGTTTTTTATTATAATAAAATTTAAATTCTAAATTTAAATCGGTGAAATAAACAGAGTCTAATTTAACAAACCACCGAATAGATTTCCGGTTCTCAAAAATAAAGAGCTACGTCCTTCAATTTCTAAATCATTATCCTTTCCTCCCCGAATAGAAAAAAAGAATAATAATATCTAAATAGATAATGAGTGACAGGCATAAATCGAATAGGGATTTTGGAACTGAGATGGGATTGAACTTCCATAGGATTAATGACTGATTCAAAGAGAACATAAATTCAAATCCAGGTGTTTTAGGGATTGAAGTTAAAAAGGTGCAAGTCGGGTGAACACATTATTCCAGATCCGAGCAGCCCAGAAACGTCGCGCGCCGTGAACAACCGGTCCCCTCAACGAACTCGCACCGCCGCCATGAACCAAGCGAGATTTGTGTGTCCAGAAAAGAGAAGATCGACCTTCCCCAGTTCTGCCGCAAGCCAAGGTGACTCTCCATCAAGAGCAAAGAAGATAGAGATAACTTCTTTCAGTTTTTTGCAGAAATATACGAGAAAAGGTTGAAAAGCTACATAAGTTTTCTAACGCTGTTAAAGACATTGGCTTAGTTTGATAGAGATTTTGGGAAGCCAAAATCATTTTTTTTTAACTAAAGTTAGAAAATGTGTTTAGTAAACACTATAAAAACAAATTCTTAGAGAATTTAAAAGCTATTTTAGGCTGAAATCAGAAGCAGCTCACTTCATACTTCTGACTGTGGATTGTGCGGGAATCTCCTGTCTTCATTAATGAAATTTTAGTTATTCCCAAAATAACCCTCAAACCTAAGCCTCTCTTCTCTCCATCTCTCTTTTCAGAGGCTTCTTTCTGCTCATTCGCCATCCTCATCTCCTAAAATCGACGCCTCCTCTGATGCTCTCTCAGCCTCAGCCAAAGCTCTTTCAGCCGAAGCTTTCTCCCTACGTTTATCTTTCTTCTCTCTCTCGGACTCCCTCTCTCCGTTTACATATCTCCTCGGATCTTCTTTCTCTAATTCTCTCTTCCCAAAACAAAAACTTTGAAGAAAAGTGAGGGTTTCTTCTTTGGAGAATCATAATGCAAAGTGAGAATGAAAGCCTCGCGTCCTCAGATCTGATCTACGATGATCTGAATTGGTGTGTTTTTCAATCTCTTTGCCTTCTTATTTGTAATTTTGGTGATTTTACGGGTATTTCGTTTGTCGGTGATGTTAATTTGGTTATGGGTTTGATTGGATCTTTTGAATCTGATTATTTCCGTCATCGTTATTTCTATTTTTTTTGTTGATGAATTAATTTGCGTTTATAGTGTTTCTTGATCTTCGTTGAAGTTTTACGTTTGTTACTCTGTTCTTTTTGGATAAGATTTGCATGTGTTTTTTTGCTTTTTTTTTTCTTGGATCTGTATCTTTGATACGCAAAAGAAATGGGTTTCTATTTGTTGAAAATGAAATTGTGACTTCTAAAAGGCTGATATTAGAAAATATGCTTGTTTTTATTGTTGGGAATAGTGTCCTAGAAGCATGAGATGTAAAAGGATATTTATTTTTTATTTAATAAAAGAGTTTATTCATCATTTTATGTGCATAAATTTATGAATATTTTATGAATAT